CTCTTCTGCTCAAGAATGAAAAGCTTCAAGAGCAATGGCAGTAGGCAATGAACACTTGGCAATTTTAAGCACCTGTTTGCTCATGTACACACATATATGCACAAGCATTTAATTTTGAAAATGCATTTACCAGTTATTGCCCTACAAAACAAAATCCTATGGATTGTATCTAAAAGGCCAGGTAAAGAGTATTTTTCAGGTTCTTTAACAAAACACTACTTGCTCTTTCTCTGCAGCCTTAGTTCAGTAAGAGTTCATCTGAAAGCTTCTGGAGAGGTCCTTAGATGAGTGAATCATAAGGATTCAATCTCTTTAAATCCTCTGGAAGAACTGCAAAGAGATACTGAAGCATCATGACCCTAAAAAAAGTACATATATACGTAACAGAAACATGTTGTAGTGTTATATATCACACATATGAGTTTTATTAAGCCAATGCTTTTTGAGAACACAGGAACAGGGGAAAAAAATAAGTTACCTTTTGTTTGTGAGAGATGAGAAGGGAATGGAAGGCGAGAAAATAAACACTGTGAGTTTTGGGTTTTTCTGTTTGGTGTTTGGGTTTTTTTTTTAATTGCATGTAAATATTTTCCTGAATATCTGAAAAATCTCATAATGATTTACTGTTTTGTTTTTTTTTTTTCTGTATCCTGAACACTTTAAGTTACAGTGTCTTTTGAGCTATCCTTACTTTGTGTGAAGGGAGATAAAAGGAATTTTAAAAACACTGACATAAAGAAGAGGCAATAACTTTTTTTCCTTTTCTAAAGTGGCAAAAAAAAAGTTAAGTTTTCTGTGTATATTTCCCCTCTTTTTGACCATATAATATTGGGCAGCTGAAAGATTATTTTCTTTTCTTTTTCTCTATTGGATGTCTTCTAACACATGGCTCACCCAGGAAAAACTCATTAAATTCCACCTCACTGCTATTTTTTATTGCAAGGAACTAGTATTTGTTTTTAAAAAAGTTTGGGTGACCTAACTGTATTCCAACAACCAAATATAATGAACTGATTTCACTGAGAATTTGTTCTGAGGACACAGAATCCTCTAACAACTGCAGTCTCAGGAGTAGCAGAACAGTCACCAACATCTTTGCCTGATACTTTTGACAAAGAAAAAATACTAAGGGTTTCGGAGGGCAACAAAAAGGAACTCTGTAGAACGATTTTCTTCTTTGACAAGAAGCCAGCTAGTCAGAGCAGGAAAGGAGACTTTGTCTAACTAGAATGGGTCTCCAAGGCAGAGGAGTAGAGCTATCAATTCTGTTTCCTGCCATGCTCAGTGCCCTTTAGGCTAACAAACTACAGTTTTTTTGGACACTGAAGTGTTAGGCAAGTTATCAGAAAAGGTGGAGGAAGTAAATTTGCTGGTTTTATGCTGAATGAAAAACCGCTTTACAATAAGGATGTTATGACTGTTTTTTTTCTGACAGTGTTGCATTATAGTTAACAATACTGTCACATACAGTGACAGGGCTGGAATGGAAGGGCTTCATTCCAGTTAGAGCTAACTGTTGCAGACTGCTCCTTTCCAACTCCATCCTTTCTGCTGGCATCTGCACTACTGCTGCTTGCTGTGAGGGAAGCTCTTCCTCTCAGTGCCGCCAAGAAGGTTCCATTTCCACGGAGAAGAGGAGCAATGCCTCTGGTACTAACCCCATGGTTGCCTCTCAAGCCATTATTTTCATATTCTTTTAGCAGCTCACCCCTGTAAAATAGCAACTAGGTTTTATGATGAAATATGTATGAAATCTGAAAAGCAGACTGCTATGTGTGCTCACATTTTCTTGATCATTGTTTTGATGGCTGTCTCTTAGTATTCAAAATCTGTTTTTATTTACACTGATGTGAATTCAGAGTGACTTTTCTGAGATGCATCAGGTGTATTCTGCTGAAACCCATGGCATGATTTATCTGAAAGGTTGAAATAACAACAAAAAGTTGTATATATTTGGTTAGTTGGACTATTGCATGCCTTATTATTAGCTGATTCTTTCTCTTCTTTGGAGTGCATGTAGTACATAATGAGGTGCAGAGGGAAGGCATGGCAACTATTCTCAAGGGACATATGTAAATAAGAAGTATTGGCACTTTTCTCAGCAATATTAAGTTTCTGAACAAAATGTTAAATAAAAAAAAAAGTCAAGGAAATGGTGCATAAAATGTGCATGAATCAGGTCCTAACTCTGTAATCTAACTCTTGGGGAACAATTAAGGCATTACAAAGTCTCAAGGCATTTATCTGTCATTTTCACTGGTGCAAGGGGAATTAAAAAAAAAAAAAAAACAAAAAACCACTAATGGAAATCTTAATTATACATACCTAATTATGAAAATTTCACAGAAGTGCAGAAAAGGAAAGCTTCCTAACACTAATAATGCTGCTTATAAAATACCATAAACAAGGCTGAGAGCTTGGGAGGACCTCTGATGGAATCCTTCTCTAATCTTCTATAGGAAAAAGCAGCATAATAGTAAGGAAAATTAAAACAAACCACAATTCTGCAAGCAGAATTTCAGTAAAAGGTAAATGTCTTTACCTATAATAGAATCAAGCACAATATACGTTTCTTTAATTGCAGACATTTAGAATTGTTTGTATATAAAGTATTCAAATTTGCCAGGAACAAAGAGGGAGCAAATTACAATATTTCCGTACTACTTAGTGTAAGATCATGCCTCAGCTGTAATCCTAATCTTAAGAATTATGAAAGGTTTTGGTTTTAACCAGTCTGTATAATCCAAAAGGTCTTGGGGTTGAAACTGTGGGATCCTGAGTGGGAATAAATATCTTGGGGGCTAGGGATACTCAAAAATAGGGAGACTACTGAGAATATTGACTAGTGGATATAACATGAATTAAGCCATGACAGACTAAGCGAGCAGAGCATGGTGGGGGAGAACTGAAAAAAAAAAAAAAAAAAAAGTGAAGAAGTGCCTTGCTTCCATGATCCTAGACCCATCAAGAGTGGTATTGAAGGGGATGCCCATGGAGGAGCCGTACCAGGGACCAGTGAGGGTGTTGGAGGTGCAGGACCGTACCAGGGACCAGTGAGGGTGTTGGGGTACCGGTGCAGGAGGGCAGGTGGTGAACGATGGACTACCTCAGCGGCTGTCTGGGACAGGGGCAGTCTTTGGATGTGGTTTGGAGGAAGACACATGTCTGACTTTTGGCTTCTTTGTTTTTTCTGAGGAAGCTAGGTTTATACAAGAGACTGTTGAAGTCATGCTTGTTAAGGCTACAAAGCATGGTTCTGAACAGCAAACACCTGGAAGAATAGGGTGAAATCCTGGTCTTGGTTTAATGTTTTCATTTTTGGTATAATAAAAGCTAGCTAAATATTCATATCTATATCTATTAAAATGCCATGTGCCTTGGCAGTCCGCTGTTCGAGCAGATAATACAGTTTCACTATAGGCCTAGTTCCTTCCTTCTTGAACGAACACAAACGCTGGTGGGAATCAATGTGCATTTTTTTCTTTGTAAAATCTGGCTCTTCTTGGTCCCATTGTGTCCAGTTCTGGGTTCCCCAGCTCAAAAAGGACAGGGAACTGCTGGAGAGGGTCCAGCAAAGGGCTACAAAGATGATTAGGGGATTGGAGCATCTCTCTTATGAGGAAAGGCTGAGGGACTTGGGTCTTTTTAGTCTAGAGAAAAGACAACTGAGGGGCGATATTATTCATGCTTATAAATACTTAAAGGGAGGGTGCCAGGGTGATGGGAACAGTCTTTTTTCAGTGGTGCCCAGTGATGGGACAAGAGGTAATGGGCACAAACTTGAACATAGGAAGTTCCCTCTAAACATGAGGAGAAACTTCTTTGAGGGTGGCAGAGCACTGGAACAGGCTGCCCAGAGAGGTGGGGGAGTCTCCTACTCTGGAGACATTCAAACCCCGCCTGGACGCTGTTCTGTGCAACCTGCTGTAGGTGACCCTGCTCTGGCAGGGGGGGGTGGACTAGATGATCTCCAGAGGTCCCTTCCAACCCTGACCATTCTGTGATTCTGTGACCATGGAAGAAACATACCGCAAGGACTAAGCCTCCATTTATCCCACTCAGTAATAAGGGCCGGCAAGGGGCGCTTTTGGGGGCTCTCAAAGCCAGGAAGCGCAGCCAGCTCACGCCGGGACCAGCAGCTCGGGGGCGGGCTGCTGATGCGGAAGGGGCGGGAGCCAACACTGCCCGCGGTGTTTCTAAACGGGCGGTGCCGGACGCAGGCAGCCAGTAGGCATCACCCAGGACGTCACCGCAGTGGAGAGCGGGCCAGTGGGCCGCAGCACTTTGCAGGGTGAGTGGGTGAAAGCCGCTCGACCTGGGCAGGAAGCCGTGGTAACCAGTGGGCAGAAGGCCATGGCATCCCTGAGCTCCGCACTGAGCAGCTCTGATGGGGCCACCCAAGCAGAGCTCGTACGGGAATGTGAGGAACATGCTCACTATATTGAATTTTAGTCAGGGCAAATTCGGTGGAGCAAAGAATATTTATTACGGCACTGGGAGTTAAACAGGGTATCTCTCTTCCTCTGGCTCGTTTTTCTCTTACAAACGCTTGTTTGTATTTCGTATTCCTTATTCATGTTTCTTCTTCAAAAATAATTTGCATAATCGACGAGTTTTTGGAACGCAACGCACCCCCAATTACATAGTCAATAAGTTCTTGGAATGCAACCCACCCCTGAACATGGCCCCTCCCTTCTAGCTGTGCAGGCCCTATGCTTCCTCAGGGGTCTTCCTGGTGGTCATCAGAGGGAGGCTTAAAGTCTTTATCACCATGTCCTTCTTGTGGCTTCTTTATTCTTTACACTTCTGTGGTTATCTTAGCTGACAACACCACCCTTTGTTTTCCAGTACTTTCAACCGTTGCTTTCAACTGATATCCTATCTAACACTATCTCTTTTCCAAACGCATCGCAAGCACACACCTATCTTAGCTGAAGCCATAGCAAGCACACATCCATTTTAGCTGAAGCAAAATTCTTTTCCTAAATTACTTATTACAGGAACATGCTGCCACCCGGGTGTTAGGCTGCAGGGTGTGCCCTGCTCTTACGCCAGTGTGGAATGGTAGTGGTGAGCAGGCCTGTGGGAGGTGTGCCCAGGTAGAGGAGCTCCTTCGCCTGGTGGTGGAGTTCCTTGAGGAGGTGAGTCAATTGAGAAGTATAAGGGAGTGTGAGCAAGAGATAGATCGCTGGAGTTGCACCCTGCCTTCCCTGAAAGAAGCACATCAGGCAGACAGAGCTCTGCATACAGAGCACTCCCCACCCTCCAGCAGCGTGGCTGAATGTGGAGATTCAGAGGACAGGGGCCAGTGGCAACAAGTCCCTGCCCGGCGTGGCAGGTGTGCCTCCCAAGTAACCCCCACACCATCCCAGGTGCCCTTGCAAAACAGATACGATGTTCTGCAAAGGGAACCAGAGGATGACAGCTCGCCGAACTTGGAGGTGTCACTGAGACCAAGATGGATTACGCCTCGTATAACAACTTTCTCAGTAATGAAAGAAAGACGTGTCCTTGTAGTAGGGGACTTGATTCTGAAGGGAGTGGAGGGTCCCATATGTAGACGAGACCCAATCCGTAGAGAAGTCTGCTGTCTTCCTGGGGACAGAGTTAAGGATGTCCAGAGGAAACTCCCTACCCTAGTTCGGCCTGTTGACTACTACCCATTAATGATTTTTCAGTTAGGCAATGACGAAATTTCAGGAAGAAGCCTGAGGGCAATGAAGAAAGACTTCAGGGCCCTGGGATGGGTGGTTAGGGCATCAGGAGCACAAGTAATGTTTGCTTCTATCCCACCAGTTGCTAGGATTGATGAGGAGATAGACAGGAAACGCCAGCTGATCGATGCCTGGCTCAGAGACTGGCGTCATTGGCAGGACTTTGGGTTCTTTGATCATGGGCTGCTTTTCAAGACACCAGGCCTGCTGGCAACAAATGGTAAAAGCCTGTCTCGCAGGGGGAAGTGGGGTTTAGGGCAGGAGTTGGTGGGGCTCATTGACAGAGCTTTAAATTAGATTCAAGGGGGGTTGGGGATAGATCTGGGCTTGCTAGCAAAAATCCTGAAAGTGGCATGCTGGCACTAGATTTGAAAAAGGAAGGGGGCGTAACCGGGCTCCTTAGGAGTAAGTCTGGTGGTGGCGGAATTATGGCTTCCCTCAGTAAAAAGGAGAAGGGACCAATAGCCCAGCTGAAGTGCTTATACACTAATGCATGTAGCATGGGCAAGAAACAGGAGGAGCTGGAAGCCGTTGTGTAGCAGGATAATGCCATCACAGAAATGTGGTGGTATGACTGACATGGCTATAGTGCTGCCATGGATGGCTATAGGCTCTTCAGGAAGGACAGGCAAGCAAGGAGAGGGGGGGAGGAGGGGGTGGCCCTGTATGTCAGGGAGTGTTATGAATTGAACTAAATGATGGTGACAATAGGGTTGAGTGTTTATGGGTAAGAATCAGGGGGCGGGACAACAAGGCAGATATTGTAGTAGGAGTCTGTTATAGACCACCCAATCAGGATGAGGAGGCAGATGAAATATTCTACAAGCGGCTGGGAGAAGTCTCGAGATTCTAAGCTCTTGTCCCCGTGGGGGACTTCAACTTGCTGGATATATGCTGGGAATGCAATACAGCAAGGAGGGAACAGTCTAGAAGGTTCTTGGAGTATACTGGGGATAACTTCCTGACGCAGCTGGTGAGGGAGCCGACTAGGGGAGGTGCCCTGCTGGACCTGCTCTTTGTAAACAGGGAAGAGCTTATGGGAGATGTGACGGTTGGAGGCTGTCTTGGGAACAGTGATCGAGAAATGATAGAGTTTTTGATTCTGGGAGAAGCAAGGACGTGGGTCAGCAGAACTGCTACCTTGGACTTCTGGAGGGCAGACTTTGGACTTTTCGGGAGCCTGGTTGACAAAGTCCCTTGGGAGGCAGTCCTCCAGGGCAAAGGAGTCCAGGAAGCCTGGATGTTTTTCAAGAAGGAAGTCTTAAAGGCACAGGAAGCAGGCTGTCCCCATGTGCCGAAAGACAAGCCGTCAGGGAAAAAGACCAGCCTGACTAAACAGGACACTAGGGTTGCAACTTAGGGAGAAAAAGAGGGTTTATGGCCTTTGGAAGGAAGGACAGGCCACTCATGAGGAATACAAAGAAGTAGTGAGGCTATGTAGGGGAAAAAATTAGGAGGGCCAAATCCCAGCTAGAACTAAACCTGGCTTCTGCTGTCAAGGACAACAAAAAAAAATGTTTCTATAAATATGTTAGCAATAAAAAGAGAACCAAGGATAATCTCTGTCCTCTAGTAGACAGGGCCGGTAACATAGTGACCAAGGATGAGGAGAAGGCTGAGGTCCTTAATGCCATCTTTGCCTCAGTCTTCTGCAGTAGGACCAGTTGTTACCTGAGTATCCAGACCTCTGAGCTAGAAGACAGGGATGGGGAGGAGAATGAAGCCCCTGTAATCCAAGGGGAAATGGTGAGGGGCCTGCTTCAGCACCTGGAGATACACAACTCTATGGGGCCGGATAGAATCCATCCAAGGGTACTGAGGGAGCTGGCAGAAGTTCTATCCAGGCCACTTTGCATCATTTATGAGCAGTCCTGGCTAACCGGGGAGGTCCCAGCTGACTGGAGGTTGGCAAATGTGACACCTATCCACAAGAAGGGCCGGAAGGAGGATCCAGGGAACTATAGGCCAGTCAGTCTGACCTCAGCGCCTGGGAAGGTCATGGAACAGATCATCATCAGTGCCATTACACGGCACGTGCAGGAGAACAGGGTGATCAGGCCCAGTCAGCATGGGTTTGTGAAAGGCAGGTCATGCCTGACAAAGCTGATCTCCTTCTATGATAAGGTGACACGCTTAGTGGATGAGGGAAAAGCTGTGGATGGTATCTACCTGGATTTTAGCAAATCTTTTGACACTGTTTCCCACAGCATTCTCCTGGAGAAACTAGCTGCTTGTGACCTGGACAGGTGTACTCTTGACTGTGTAAAAAACTGGCTGGATGGTCATGCCCAGAGAGTGGTGGTGAATGGAGTTAAATCCAGTTGGTGTCTGGTCACAAGTGGTGTTCTTGAGGGCTCGGTGCTGGTTCTCTTTAGTATCTTCATCAGTGACCTGGACGAGGGGATCGAATGCACCCTCAGTAAGTTCGCAGATGACACTAAGCTAGGTGAGCATGTTGATCTGCTTGAGGGTAGGATGGTTCTACAGAGGGATCTGGACAGGCTGGACTGATGGGCCAAGGCTAATGGTATGAGGTTCAACAAGGCCAAGTGCCAGATCCTGCACATGGGTCACAACAACCTCAAGCAGCGCTACAGGACTGGGGCAGAGTGGCTCGAAAGCTGCCTGGTAGAAAAGGACCTGGGGATGTTAGTGGACATCTGGCTGGATATGAGCCAGCAGTGTGCCCAGGTGGCCAAGAAAGCCAACGGCACCCTGGCCTCGGTGGAGGCTGGATGGATTTGCCATCCCTGGAGATGTTTAAAAAAAAAGTGTAGACGTGGTACTTGGTGACATGGTTTAGAAGTGATTTTGTCAGGTTAGGTTAATGGTTGAACTTGATCTTAAAGGTCCCTTCCAATCTCAACAATTCTATGATTCTATGATTCAATTATTGGTACTTAAATGAGGTATTTGCATTAAGTGCCTAATGCCCCCCTCCCTAAGCAAAGGAGAGTGGTGCCCTCCACAAGTCTGGCTTAGATACTGGGGTGCCTCCACCGGCTGTGGGCAGAGCTTAAAAGAACATAGCTCTCCCCAGCTGCATAGATTCAGGTTGAGTGTCTTACAAACAAGCCAACTCCAATGGGTTTGTGGAAACGTAAGTCCAGAAAGAGCGACAATACTTCCCCCCCCAGCTATGTTTGGTTGGGGCTGGGTAGGCTCCCTGTGCTCGTGGAGCTGGCAGTCCTGGGGCTGTGAGCACTGCTGGCCCTGGGCAGGGGACACGTTGCCAATGGCTGGAGGGCAGCTGGGAGCACTGAGGAGGGAGCAAGGTGGGGTGCAAAAGCCAAGAGGACCCCCTGGCACAGCTGGGGTGGAGACATCTCCTGGGTGAGGCCCCACCATGGGCAGCCCCTCATGGCTGCCTCTTGTTCAGGGAGGCCAAGAGCAGTGGGACGCAGAGGCAGACAAGAGGGTAAATGTGACAGCAAAGAAAAGCAGTGCTCCTGGGGAAGGCCGTTTTCATTTCCAAACAGGGTTTTGTGGTTTGTTTGCTTGTTTTTTCCCCTTTAACAATTTTAACTGTATCTTTTTTGAGGTTTTTCTGTACTGCACCCCTCAGTCTATGAGGTGGCCGAGGCGCTGGTTGGAAGATTGGTAAGCCCTGCTCCCATAGGCACAGCCCAGGAACAGGCTGGGGTTTTGGGGTGACAGCGCAGAGGCCAGCAGGGGAAGAGG